AGTGGATTGTGGAAAATGCCTGATAAGGCCTTTGCCCTTGAAAAGCTGTCAGTGTCTTCATCCGCTGGAAGATCCACAAAACTGTTGTCTTCCAGTCACCATGTTTTTTTAAAAAATGTTAGTGTTTATAGAAAAATATTTAAAATCCATAGTTTGTTCGATGGAAACAAGGACAATAATAATTGAAAAAAAAGAAAAGAAAACAACTAATTGGAATTCACTTTAGACACCCCCTGCCCCCAGCATAGAAAATAGTCATTTACTTCTCAGAGTTTTTGTGGATTTTTTGATTTCAGCCGTCTTCCTGACCTTGCCAGTTCCAGCTCCTCTTGATGATTATTTAGGACATCTTTCTGCATAGCTTATTGGATTAAGATGCTCCGGTTTGCTTACTGCTCTAACTGTTGCCTTGTACACCTACCCCAAGCTCTGTGCCACTTATACACACAGGTCTGCCTCCTGCCCTAGCCTTTTGGCTCCAGGGCTGGATGTCCTGGACCAGCTGCCACGTATATCCCTGCAGAGAAATGGGCTTGCCCTCCTCCTGAGGGTGTCATGAGTCCAGAACTGCTGAGGCCAGAACATATCCATGGTGTGCAGTCTCAGAGTTGTGGGAACTGACTGGGAGTCACTTTGGAAAGCTTCACAAATAACTTCCTATGGGAAATTTTGATATGGCCCCTTCCTCCTCGTCATTTCACCTGTCGGTGACAGCCAAGCACAGGTACTTCACAGCTTTGTTTTGTGTTGTGTCTTCAAGTCTGTTTTGAGTGTACCCTAGCACGTGGCTGTAGGACAGAGGAGATGACAGGAGACCTGGTCCCTGTCTTGGATGCATTAAGTGAGGCTTGAAGCTATGCTGAGTCACCCACAGATCCTCTGGGTCACCTGTCCTTTCTCCTTTAAGACTTACAACATACGTGCCTTCCTTCTCTAATTGGGATACTTTCTCTAATTTTCCTCCAGTCAGCCAACTTTTTATCCTCCTTTAGGTCATGGCATCAGTAGGCACTTAGTTGTCTACCCATAACAGGGTTAGGATCCCTTCTCTACTCTGTTCCCCCCACCCCCTTGTTTTAAAATTTGGCACACAGTACCATAATCTGGGTTAACTTCTCCCTTGTTGGACCTGAGCTGTTGTATACTTAGTATCAATGACAGTGCCTAACTGCAATAAGTCAACGTGTAGTAACCAGGGCACTTACTGTAGCTCATACTCTGTGATTGGGTGTTCCCCACACATTTTGTCCTCAGGCCCTCACAACAACCCTAGGAGCAGATATAGGTATGATAAATAATTTTACAGAGGAATAAAATGAGACTGGTAGAAGTTACGTGATCTGTCCAGTAAGACATAGCTAGACTCCAGCTGGTACTTAATTCCAGGTTCCCACTCTTCATGGCTTAATAAGTGTTATGAGGATTCATTTGCCCAGACGTACAGTGCTTGCTGGGTGCTGGGCAGAAAGCACAATATCTATTTTGCAGAGACAGACTATAAACAAATAAACAAAGAAGATTCATGATTGCCATAAGGGTTACGAGGGAAATGAGCATAGTGAGGGGTAAGAATGATTCTGTTTGGGGTGGTCTGAGTGGAAAGGCTGATGTTGTGGACAAGGTGGCAGCTGGACACTGAGTGTGAGAAGGGGTCTTTTTTTTTTTTTTTAAAGAGAGTGAGAGAGGAGAGAGAGAGTGAGAGAGAGAGAGAGAGAGAATTTTTAACATTTATTTTTCAGTTCTCGGCGGACACAACATCTTTGTTGGTATGTGGTGCTGAGGATCGAACCCGGGCCGCACGCATGCCAGGCGAGCGCGCCACCGCTTGAGCCACATCCCCAGCCCTGAGAAGGGGTCTTGATAGTAAACTCTGAAGAAGAACAAATGCAAAGGCCCCATTTTGGGAGGCAGCTAGTGTGGCTGGAGTAGATAAAGTTGAGGAGGATGATTGTGGAGAGCAGTGACAGTGACTGGGAGACCAGTTTCTGAGATTGGGGTCCTTGGTGACTTCATGGCTGTGGCATACTTGGTGACTGGGAAAGTTTCTGTGCAAAGGCATAGGATGCCCGGTTGCTATGGAGATGCCCTCCATGCTGCAGTCTTATCAGCTTCCACCTTATTCTCAAGCACAGCAGCCCCAGGGAACGAAGGAACTTCCTTGCTAAGATAACTGCAATGTTTCACCAGTTCTGCTGCTCCTGAATCTGCCAGCAAAGTAGTAACTTTAAACAATGGACTTTCTTGAGAGCTGCACAATGCTCCTAGCATTGCACATTGCAACTGTAGAATGTAACTGAGGAAATAGCTGCATACTGTTGCTGATTCTATAACTTTCATAAATACAAAGGATAATGCTTGCATAGTCTTTTATCTGATTTAGAGACTTATACAATCAAGATTGCTGGTGTCACTCTTTAGACCTGCTTCTCCATCAGAGAGCAGTGCTCCACCTGACTCTAGCTGTTTAATCTTCAAGATCTGTGTACGTGACTCGTTATTTCTTCCAATCTCCCATCATCTCTCGCTGTAACCTGCTAGTTTGGCCATGCTGGCTGCAGCAGTTAATATTTTTCATTTTTAAAATATGGATGTAGAATTAACTAACCAAATGAATGGCAGGAACAACTAAATAGATTAAGAGGGAAAGGCAGTGGGGAAAGAAGAGGAGGTAGGGGCCAGGTCTTGTAGGACTGGGGTAATAAGCTCACCGGCCTTCAGAACCAGACCAGCACCTGGACTTAGTGAAGACAGCGTGGCCTGCCTTTTGCTTTCAATTTTTAATAGAGACATTGGTATAGAGAAATGTTTATGTAAGCAAAACAGCAGTGTGGATACCATGATAAATGGCGGTACAAATGTGATGATGGTAACAGCAGATGGCTTTTGACCTCAGGTTCAGAGTCACAGTAGGGACCAGGAGCAGCTGAGGGCCTGCTGGCCCTGACTGAAGAAGGCAGCTAGTCCTCAGTGCCAGCCATGTGTTGCCATGTGGGAATGTGGGCTCCATGTGCTAAATCTGCCAAGTTTCCCATAGAATTAGAAATCTGAATTTCTATGTGAAATTCTTGTATTCTAAAATGTTGGGTCAAGCTGTAACAATCCTAATAATAGGTAGACAAAATACCTGTGTGGGCAATCAGTTTGAAACATCTTCTGAAAGCCCTTTAGGCTGTCATAAAGGGGATTGAATGAAATAATGATGCAAGTTAACCATTTAGCTTTGTGCCCAGTACTTGGCCAATACTGAGGAGAAGAAAGGTGCTTATCATGGATTACACTGTTAATGTGTTTAGTTGTCTGCAACCATTATTTTAGTTAACTATAAATTTATTTAAAAAAAATATCTGTCACGTCCTGTGCAACAGTTTATTCAGGGCTACATGAACCAGTCGATGAGGGGATTATGAAAAGACAAACAGACACAGAAGTAGAGAAGAGGTTGAGGCTCAGTGGTTCGTCCTAGTCCTACCTCTAGTGGAGGAAGACAAGCAAGCTTGGCACGTTTGTTATATAGATTTAAACATCAGAAGGATTTATTGTGAGAAAGCTTCTTCAAGATAAACAAAACCAAAGCTGAGGGTAAAAGCAGCTCAATTAGTGCTTATTAGCTTGTATCTATAATTCTATACCTTTGGGCAGCAGGCTTTGGAATGTAAGGTTAAGAAATAATAAAATTGGCTAGCAAGGAATTTTCCTTTGAACAAGGTCTCACAATGCAACTGGGCAGCTTTCTCAGAGCATTTGTACCAAAAAATTACCAAGAGAGGTGTTGCCTCTGTCTTTGGGCAGTTCTAAGACCCATAATTCATTCCCTGCTCCTGACAAATATCCTAGTCTAGTTCAAGGATTAAATTAATGAATGGTTGGTAGTTACTGTTATTTGCTTACTGAGGAGTTATTTATATTTTTGCTCTTAGTTTGGTACATTCTATATTCATATTATATATAGAATATATACATTCTATATTCATGTTAAAAAGTAAACATGAGCCAGGCATGGTGGCACACACCATTAATTCCAGCTGTTTGGGAGGTTGAGGCAGGGGAATTGAAAGTTGGAGATCAGCCTGTGCAACTTAGTGAGACCAAGTTTCAAAAATCAAAAGGGAAGTCTTAAAATAGAAAAAGGGCTGGGAATGCAGCTAGGTGGTAGAGCCACCCTCAGTTCAATCCCTAGTACCAATAAATAAATGAATAGATACATATGTGTGTTATGTATGTAGTGTGTAAATAAACATCTATCTGGTGTAATTCATGTGATAAAATTATCAAGGGACAAAGGGGAAACATTTTGGAGTTACTTGTCCTGATTCACTGTCCACTTCCACGGTTTTGCCATCATTGCTCCCCTCACATTCCTGTGTTTGGGCTCATTTTTAGTATCAAGACCTCCTGGCTACATGTGTAAGTGGTAAGGAACCACAGCATAAATGCCATCCTGGACCATGTGACGGGAAATTAGCTTTATGAAGTGACATTGTGTTTAGGAGGTTTTCATCAGTTTTAATGAAATACAAATGTGCTCAAAGCGAGCTATTTTTTTTTCCCCAGAGGTGGAGAGATCTTCATTTAGTATGGCCTAACTCACACAATTTTGTCTTACAAGAATCATATTTGGTGTGTTGCAATCGTTGGCAATAGTCTTGGGGAATTTTATTCAGCACAAGCATCTCTGATGGTTCTGGCAACAAGTTGGCTTAATTACTTGTTCAAGTATTTTTTTTTTTTTCTGGTTTTTGTCTCTGTAAAAATTCTGGAGCATCATGGAGAGGAACACTGGGAATTACAAAATATATTTGAATATTTCTAATAGATTAAAGGTTTATGAAAACATCTTCTTTCCCCAAGATTTTTTTTTTACATTGTTTTAAAATGAGATCATTTTATTTGATGGAAACTGGAGATTTGAAAATAAGCAGTTTTTTTTTATTTTGGTGAAAAATCTTATCTATAAGTTCAAATTCTTAATTGAGTCAATATTTCTCTCAATTTTTGTACAGATCATGGAAGAAACAAATACTCAGATTGCTTGGCCTTCCAAACTGAAGATTGGCGCCAAATCCAAGAAAGGTAAATTGTAAGAGAAAGTGGCAGTTTTTGATGTTATGGAATTACTGCAGGTTTGCTGAGGAGAAAACGAACCAACCTTTATTCTTATCATTTTTCCCCCAAATATTTAACAAATAATAATATTTGGAAGGATGGCCATAATTAAAAATAATATGCAGTTTTCCAACAACAGAAAATGTTTTTAAGTATAAATATTATAATAGAAATGTTATTATAAAAGATATTATGCAACCTATGGTCTCAAAGATGCCCAGTTGATAGCCATGATTAATGATAACTCCACATGTAAAAAATGTGTTTTCAATACATAGGCTTTCTTTATACTTTTTTTAAATTTGCTACAAAAATTTAATATTTATTTTTTCCCCTTTAATGTGATACAAAGCTTAGATGTCTTTTCTTGAGTGCTTCCTCTCCATCTGATAGCAAAGAGCCTACTAGATTTCCTTTTAGACTGAGCACTTCTCTTGCCAATTTCTGCCCTGCCCTGTATAGGACACTAGCCAATATATGGGCAGTCAGAAATGGAAGTATATCTGTCTAGCCGCCCTTAGATGCTCCCTGCCCCCATATTAAGATTACATAGTATTTTCCATTGGGGGCACTGCAGCATACACCTGTAATTCCAGAAGCTCAAGAGGCTGAGGCAGTAGGGTTGCAAGTTCAAAGCCACCCTCAGCAACTTAGTGAGACCCTATCTCAAAATAAAAAATGAAAAGGGTTGGGGATGTAGCTCAGTGGCAAAGTGCCCCTGGGTTCAATTCCCAGTACCAAAAGTGGGGGAAAAATAAAGACTATGCAGTATTTTCAATGGACTTGCCAGTTTATATTTTTATGGAAGTTTTTCTTTTTAAAGAATGACCTCACTTTCAGCAACTCTATTGTGTACATTTCACTAAAAATAATACAAATGCTTGAGGTTATCAAGAGATAATGACAAATACCATCAGACAATTCAAAGTATAATGATTGTGTACACTGAGCTTGATGCCTTGTGCTCTGGGCTTTCTGTTGTTGTTGCTATTTAGTTTTACATTTTTGTTCCTTCTATAGCTTTTATTGCTAAATGATACTAAGCATTGCGAAGTTGCTCAATTTCCTTTCTTACTTTAGTCCAGATTTTCTTCTTTTAATTTCATTTTATTAGAGTTACTCATCCCATGGAATGTACATTATTTTACAGTTATTATTTTTTTGTGAGTGCTGTTGGCTGGACTTTGGCATGCCTGCAGAAACTCTGATCTTGGTCTCTTTTTATTTGTGATTGTGGTGGCGAAGACATGGTGAATTTCTACATGGAGTTCCTTATATTTGCATGAACATTGTACTTGTCAGTTGTTTGAGAATAAGTTTTCAATTAATTTTCATGATGTGTTGGGATGTTTTGTATTTATTATGTGGAAGATAACACTGTCCTTAGTGGGTTATATGCCAACTTGTTTATGACTTTAAAATAAAAAATCCCTGGCATACTACTTGGGTAAACTGAAATTTGAACATAAACTGGATTTTCTGTTTCTGTAGTCAGGCATTTTTACTTAAAGAATAAAACAACCTTTGTTACCTAATAAAAATGAAATGTAATCAGTCCCTCAAGAAAACCCCCCAGGAGACATGAATATTAAGACACTACCAGATGATTTTGGATGGCTTATTCTTTTGCAGTATCCATGTTACAGTCTCCCCACTGTTATCATGAAACTAAGAATTGAATCATTTTTTCGTTCAAAATGTGGATAGAGCTTTAGAGATTTTAGAGAAATACAGAAATTAATGGAATATTTTCATGGTTTTAGATTGATTTTCTGCCACTGACACGGTTAACCTATTCAGAGTGGAGTGGCAGTCCACATTTTGGTTGTACAAAATTTGCTTTAGAAATAAGACTATTTCAGCAGCACATTGGAGGGTATTTGGAATAATTTTCACATGGTTAAAGTTAAACTTTGGGGGCTGGGGTTGTAGGTCAGTGGTAGAGCTCTTGCCTTGCAAGTGTGAGGCACTGAGTTCCCCATCCTTAGCACCACATAAAAATAAATAAATAAGGGCTAAGGTTATGGCTCAGTGGTAGAATGCTTGCCTAGCATGTGTAAGGCATTGTGTTGGATTCTCATATAAATTAATAGATAAATAAACAACTAAAACAAAAAATTAAAAAAATAAAATAAGGATACTATGTCCATCTACAACTTAAAAAAAAAAAAAGGTTAAACTTTGGAATTGAGCCTAAGAATTGATCTCTCCAGGCATGAGTGTATAGACTTTGTTTTATGTTCTTTTATTTATGAAGTGCTCCGAACGTACACAGTACTGTACAAGGAGCAGAAAGAATGTGCCAAAAGAGAACAAGGAAGAGGAAAGAATCAAGAGTTTGCCTCTGAGGAATTTACTGTTCGGAATTTACTTGAATGCTCTTAGTCTTTAAACACAGCTGTGGAATCAGCCTTTGGCTAACATCCCTGATATGTATATAGACCTACATTATTTTAAAAATGGTTTAATGCAGAGACAGAGTTTGTTTGACTATAATTTGTAGTCAGTAAAAGTAAAATGAAAGTAGTGGGGGGAATTTTAGAAGGTAATTATCTGCTCTTTGATCTGGTGTGACTGTTCCCCGCTGCTCTTAAGTGTTGTGGAAGAGTTGGTCTTTCATCCATCTTCATTCCCAACTATTTTATTATTCAAAAGACCGAAGAAAATAAATGTATTTAGGGACCATGCCATGGATGATTATTTAATTCTAAATCCCATAATGATCTGAAGATTTGGAATATATGGATAATCCCCAGACTGTGCTAGAGAGACAACCGAGCCACAGGCTTGTGTTGTATTTCACTTTCTAGTTTTCACAATGCACGCTGGTTGAATGTTTGAGCCTAGACAAACATTTTTCGTGGCCGCTCTTACCACACAGTCTGCCCCTTTCTTTACCTTATTGGAATTTAGTCTTGTATTTTTCAAATTAGTTTCCAGTAGTTGTGCCCAAACTTAATTTTGGAGCCATTAATCCTTTATCAGAGTAGCCGTATGGGAGCGTTGGTGGAAGTGCTGGTGGGATGCTGCCTGGCAGAGAGCAGCCTGAATTGGCCACCAATTAGAAAATTTAGATTCCTCTCTGAAGAGTATGGGTTAGTAGTTCTGGGGGCAGCAGTGGGAGTCCTTATATTGAACAAGTTCCTCTAGTTATTGTGGTCAAACTGAGTTTGGAAAACAAAAATCCTACCATCTGATGTGGAAATATCATGACTTGTTTGCTAAGAAGACTGTTCAGATGGCAGTGGATTATGCAGTCAGGTAACATGCATAAGTTTGGAGTAATGATAACCTCATTCAATGCCTGTGTTAAAAATCATTTTGAGCAAAGGAACATCTGGTGTTTCTTCTCTGCCTTGCCATACCTTATTTTTTTTTAAACATTAAAAACAATTTTTTTGTTGTTATTGTATATGGACACAATACTTTTATTTTAGTTGTTTTTGTTTTTATGCATGCTGGGGATCGAATCCAGTGCCTCACACATGCTAGGCAAGTGCTCTACCACTGAGCCACAATCCTGGCCCATTGCCGTACCTTCTTACCCTTTCTGTTCCCTCCCTCTTTCACTTTTGCTCTCCTTCCATTTCTCTTTGACCATGTTCTAGATAGAATATAGTTGAAGAAAGTAATAGAAACATTTTCATACATGCAGGATATTTTGGGGAAGTGCATATTTTGTGATACAAACTGAGGGACATGGAATTTTTGAAAATCCCCAGAGCATTTGCAATTGAATCCTCACTGAAGCCAGAAAGAACTAAGAATTTAAGATTCAAGATAATGGACATTAAAATGGATGACTCTTGGATTATCTTAATGGGGGCCATGATTAAGACAAATAAAGCAACACTTAGCATTTATTCTGAATAACATGAACTTATTTTGTGTAGAAGAAAATGAAACTGTTTCAAACTTGTGGAATTGGAACAGTCAGTCTGCTTTACATAGAAAATTCGAGATTTGTGTTGGTGAAACAAGTTCTAGGGATTAAGGTGTTCAATAATACAAAAGTTTACTAATATAGAATAACTTCAGGCACTCATTAAAATTTTAAGTGTGCTATTCTGAGTCACAGCCTGCTTTGAAATAAATGCAGCTTCATTAAAATACAAACAACATTTGAACAAGTTTGACTGTTTTGCCAAGTAGAATTCCTTCCAGACCTGCCTTAACAAATAGATAAAAGTGATTTGTAAGGAGAATTTATCACAGTGGTGATTGTGCTGTGAACTCCACCATGCTAGATGAGTTTGTTCTCTTAAATAAGGTAAATATTTTTCTTAAAAGCCTCTTTTTGCTCTTAATTTGCTCATCAATCTCTTTCTTCTTAGATTGGCAAGGGTAAATGTGGGTGAACATTGTTTAAAGTTTTTATGCCAAATTCCAAATAAATGAGGTCAACATTAATGAAGCTTTATTGCAGAGTTAAACCAAGTGATAGAAACTGGTCTCTGCAGAGTGGTCCTGGGGTGACATCCTAAGATGTTCCAGGACTAGCAAGAACGAGAGTGTTGAATGGATTACTGGTGTATCCTGGTTAGAGGGAATCTGGCACCATGTTTTCTTCCTCTCACAATGAACAAGAGAATCATCAGGATTCCATGAGAGTTTATTATTTTTTGTTGAATTGGATTCCATGAGAGTTTATTAATTTTTTGTTGAATTCCATCAGAAGAAGTAGATATCTAATAGAAAATCTTAACATAGGAAAAATTATAGAAAAAATTTATTATTTTTTTCCTTGGGAAATGTTTTGCTGAGTGTACTGATGCTTGTGTTGGGTGTTCATGGTAGACTAACTAGTGGAAGCCTTTAACATAGCAATGTTCAGAGGATGTAGGGCAGAGGAAAGGGTGGTGTGGCATGCTGGACCAAGTGTTTACAGTGGAGGGTTGCAAACTATGAGGGGTATAAACTTTATTTAGTGAGTTACAACCAGCTATAAAATACACCCAACTAAATTA